AGATGAGTGGCACATGTGCTGTGACCCACTGTAAATGACTGCTAATGTTTTAACTGGGAGAATTAGGCTTTCATCACGGAGACGAATGCAAATCGCACTGCAATAGCACTGGCGTCTGGAGTGTGTCTGTGTGCTTGTGTGTGTGTTTGCGCTGTCAGGGTGGCGGGCAGAGATTGGGGTCAGACTCATTTACAAAACTTAGCATCACGGCTCGGGGGTTGAGGGGATGCGGGGGAGAGAAAGGGTTCCTCCACTGATTATGGCTTGTGTAATTACGTGTCTGTGTGTTTGTATGTGTGTGAGTGTGCGCGCGCATGTGTGTATCTGCGTGTGTAATTACGGCAAGGAGTGATGCATGCCTGGCCTGTCCCTCCCTCTCGGCTTAGAACAGCGTGTCAGAGAGAATATGCAGGATTTAATTATAGACGAATTAAAATTGGTAATGAAATTGGGCATGAACAAACTACAAATAGCAGATGAAAAGGGAGGCCTGTCCCTGGGGGGTTGAGACGAAGATAGCGGTGTGCCCGCCTGCTTGGCTGTCTGAGAGCTTGTGGATGTGTGTGTTTCTGTGAGCGTGTGTGTGCTGATGATGACTGATTAGAAGCATTCTGTGATAAAATAACAGTACTAGAGAACCGCTGCCTTGTGTTAGCGCTGCACAGGGAGCTACATTGAGGTGCAAAGCGATGGCTGAAGAAGTTGCGGCTCCTATCCTTAAAGTCGCATTACTTATTAACTTTTGATGGAAAGCTCGTATTCTTGCCTCCAACTGGGTGACAGACTTAGTGCAAGGGTAGAAAAGTGTGGTTACGCTTTTCACTTCCTGTTACAACTTTTGCATTACACTTTAGGTAAAACCGAAGACCACGGATGAAATCTTATGAAATTAACAGCAGTCATCAGGAAACATTAGTACTACTAAACCAGTAGTAGTACTTATTAAATTCATCACTTTGCGGGATAAGTTGAGAAAGTGTTTTACAGTTATTTCAATAAGCCTGTGCATTAATGCAAAATGAGGTTCTTCATCCCTTTTGGAACATTTATGAGGCAAGAAAGGAGGCCGACTAATTTTAATGCTAAATTTAAAAAAAAAAGAATAATCGTTTCTGCAAAGAGAGTCCAAGGAAAGTTAAAGCAAAATAAAACCTGAAATCTCAGCGTCAAGTTAAATATTAAACAATGAAAATGCAATAGTAGCTGATTGATCCTCGGTGACTCTTTTTGCCTCTTTTCACTCTTCGTCTCCTCAGAATGCCGTGCGCCACAACCTGAGTCTGCACAAGTGTTTTGTTCGTGTTGAGAATGTGAAGGGGGCCGTGTGGACTGTGGATGAAGTTGAATACCAAAAGAGGAGACCACCAAAGATGACCGGGTAAGCACCACACACATACACAGAGTCAAGTGAACACGCTGTCACATGCGCACGCACGTTTGCTTTCTTGATGCACGGTTGAGGCTGATGTGAGTGTGAGCTTATCGGTGCTGGCACTATGATTGCTTAAATGGACCCACTATTATTACCGAGAGGCCAACTCGGGAATCAAGTAAAAACAAAGTAGGGGCTGCCGGCCATTAATGTACATACTGTGTGTGTGTGTGTGTGTGTGTGTGCGTTTTTCCCTGTTTGTCGACTCCATTAGTAAGCAGCTGTGTGAGATGCAAGACAGGAAAAAACCTTGTTAGCGCGTGTAAACAGATGTTCTTTCCAACCACCAGAGAATCCAGGGATAATTATGCACACACACCTGCACACCAGATATCAGAGACTTTCATGTGCATGTTTTTAGCATCTGTTTACAGTCTGTGGATATTTCAGTAACAAACATATTTGTGGAATTTGTTGCAACGCTTTTGGTGATGTGACATCTTTCTCACATGTGTATGCAATCTGTGATCCTCAACCTCCTTTTTCTCCTTGTTTGTGCTTGTGTGTGTGTGTGTGTGTGTGTGTGTGTGTGTGTGTGTGTGTGTGTGTGTGTGTGT